TCCAACCGACGATCTAATTGTCTGGGTTCGATAAAGCCGTGCGTTCTAAATATATTTTACGCGAGCAATAAAAGCGTTAGAAAAACTTTGAGCCTCTACAACTCCAGCCTGGAACAATTCTCACTTCGTCTTTTGAGATGCAAATCGAAGTCAAATCAAAAGCGAAAAGACTCTTCAAAAGCGTCCAGTTATTCGTGATTTCATTCTGATCATTTCAATTTTGATTAATATCTTAATATATATTTTCTCCTGGGATTTTTCGCAAAACTTTCACAAAAATTTCTTTATATATAAAGCGTTCTTCATAAAAATTATGGAAAGCAAATCATAAAGAGAGACTTCGTTCATTCAGTAATCTCTCGCGTGTATATTTTACAGCTTCTGTTTTAGAAAATTTATCCCATATTAATGTATACATGCTTAATGTATTCATAATTCCGCACACGTCCCGTTCACGATTTAACAGATACAGGAATAAATTAATAGCAAAATTTAGAATATTTTGTTCTCAGCAAAAAAAGTCCCTTGTATAAATTATAATATATATACATATATGTACATGTGTGCTGAGTTAAAGCGAAATTTTTAAAGATAAATAAAATATTATTATATGACAATATACATATTGATAGTAATATCTATCGCAAATAAAGATTTTTCTGCAAATAAATCTGACGCACAATAAAACCGCATTTTATATAGCTGCTTTTACGAAACTCCAGTGATTATACTTGAAATATTTATAAATTGTTGTATTGAGAAAAACGAGCGCTCTGTAACCGGCTAATAATTCACTCTTGACTTTCTCTCGCACGCGGTAAATTCGTTAACGTGTACATAACATGGCGATGCATTAACTGAGCCGAGCTTTTTTGAGAGCTGTGTGAGGTATAATACTACTATTTTATCGGACGTGCATCGACAGTATAACCGATGAGTTTCGGATTTTAGCCGTGTGATCATTGACCGCGTAAAAATTCTGTAAAATAAATTTCACGAATTTAAAAAAAAACACTTTGAAATACTGCGAATAAACACACAGACAAATTAATGAAATTTTATAATAATCTATCATGCACATAAATGTCAATTAATTCAAATTTGTTATCATAAGATAAATTTGATGAAAAAAACACACAGCAAGCTTCAAATGTTATTGTTACTTAATTAATGTTAATGTATTCGCGACATTTTTAATTATCCACATTATTAAATCGTAAAATCGTTTATGAAAATTCGTAATACCCTCATTATCGATATTCAATATATCGTAATTATATCTTTTATTTATACAGAAGAACTTTGACAAATGTCATACGAAGAAATTGATTTAATATTAATACATCAACCATGGAGTTTTTATATTACTATCCAGCTATCAATTAAGTTTTGTAAATTTTTGTAGATTTTTTTCTTTTATAATATTATTTAGCGCGATATCAAAAATGGTAAAACGCTTGCTTTATGTAGGCCAGTCATCGATTCGACAACAAATTACTTACGCCCTGTAATTCATACCCTCACAATCGCTATATTCGTTACACAGTTTAAAAAAATAACATAATAGCTAAAAAAATTTATTTAGTTTCTAGAACAAGTCATTACCAAATAATTTAAAAAATTCACTAAAAAATGCATAATTCAAATTAAAAGAAGTAATCACAATGAACAAATTAAGAGAATTAGAAATTTTAATAAAGTATCATAATAAAAAAAGAATATATTAATAAATCAATAAAATATTTTAAT